GCCAAAGCCAAGAGCCAGGACCTCCACCCAGGTATCTCAAGTGGGTGGCAGGAACCTACATCACTTGAGCCACCGCTGCTGCACATTAGCAGCTGGCTCAGAAACGGAGACGGAACACCACCCCAGGCCCTCCCATGTGCAATGTGGGTGTCCGAAGTGGCAGCTTAACTGACTGCCACACGACACCTGTCACTTCCACAAACTTTATGAAGTGCCCTGTATAAAAATGAAAGCCTGAACTTTCCTTCCCACAGCCTATTGAAATGATCCTTCCACAAGAATGAGGCTTTTAACTAGAATTAGTTAAAGTGAAGAAGGAACCGAATTTAATTGGTGGTGATCAAGTTATTCTCTTAAATGATCCAATGGCTTCCCATTGCTCTTAGAGTAAAGCCCAGAATTCCTTACTGTGGCTTATAAAGTCCATCACCCCAACCACAGCACACATTCCTTCTGCTGCTGTTGGTTCACTGTATTCCAGGAACAAACACTTTTTTTTTCTTTTCATTTTGAAATCAGAGAAACAGATTTTCCATCTGCTGATTCACTGTCCACAACAGCCAAGACTGGACCAGGCCAGGCCCAGGAGCCAGGAACGCAATCCAGGTCTCCTGTGTGAGTGGAAGAAACTCAACTCCTTGAGCCATCACCTGCTGTTTCCCAGGCGCACACTAGCAGGAAGCTGGACTCAGAAGGGGAGCCATGACAGGAACCCAGGCACTGCAATAAGGGCTGCAGTCGTCCCAAGCAGTGCCTTGCCCACTGTGCTAATTGCCCATCCACCCAACACCCCCAAGCACTTTCTTTCAAATTCTTCCCTGGCTTGCTACCTTGGACCAGCTCTGCCCAGAACACTCTCCTTCCCCTTTCCAGCTACTTAACTTCTGCTCAGCCTCCAGTCCCCAGCTTGAAGTGCGTTTGCTTGGGAGAGATTTCTTCACCCTCACCCCCAGGTTAGACTTCCTGTTTCCCCCTCTCCCGGCATCCTGCAAGCAGCTACCGGAACACGAAGGAAGGCATCACTGCCGGGCTGATGGATTCTTACAGGCCCTTTGCTTTTTGGTGAGCAAAAGCTGACCTGGGGACAGAGCTTGGGTTTCAGGCCCTGCTCACTCCCCAGCTGTGCAACTCTGTGTGGGGCTCAAGGTGCCAGAGCCTGAAGCCAAGCTCTGAGGTCCTTTCACAGCACCTGTCCTTCAGCACTGTTGTCTGAATTCCAACAGCTCTGCCTCCTCCAACAGACTGTGGCTCCACCATTTGTCCTGTTGAGGACAACAGCCTGGCCCTTAGGGCTCCCTGAGTGTGCGTGCAAACAACGAAGCAGTGTTTGGCACCACTAAGCAAACATTCAGTTACACAGTCACATGCTGTTTTCTAGTAAGATAATAAACGTTCTCGGTTCATCCGACACGACCGTAGTAGTATCGTCTTCCTCTGACTTCAGTGAGTATGTGGTTTGTGGCCAAAAATTAGGAATCTAGTCCCTTGGAAAATCACTCGATCCTCAGGGGTGGAATGCACAATCTTGATGAGGTAGCAGGAATCGCCGTGTCGGAAGCCATAAGAAACCTGTACCTCATCCTGTGGAACCTCCTCCACTCCACAGGAAATTAAGAATAGGAATTTTCTTATTTGTAAATGGAAAGACCGGATGAAGTGGTACCCTACACCCAATAGCCTGAGCTTCTAAGATTTGTTTCAAGTTCCCCCTTGAAACTAACTTGAAATTGAAAATGACCACCCCAGCCTTGTGTCCCAAGTAACCAAGTTAGGGCAGGGAGTTGGCTTGCTGAATTCCCACACTGCTTCCCTGCATGTGCCAAGGGCAAAGAGGAGAGAATGTGAGTTTTGGGTAGTTACCAATGAAAGATGGGAAAGCTTCGATTTTCCATGGTTGGTTAAGATATCCCTGGGTTAAGTCGGGTGATACTTATACCTCACTTATGTGTCCTGGATGCCTAACTATATACATAAGCACACACACACACACTCCTCATAACTCATCTGTGGATTTAATGGTTCTAAAAATGGCCTTGCACCATGCTGAGAAGAGACAATGTCTTAGACGTGGGGACCGGCACTGTGGCGTAGCAGGTAAAGCTGCCACCTGCAGTGTCAGCATCCCATGTGGGTGCTGATTCAAGTCTGGCTCAGATCCAGCTCTCTGTTATGGTCTGGGAAAGCAATGGAAGATGGCCCAAGTGCTTGGGCCCTGCACCTGAGTGGGAGACCCGGAAGAAGCTCCTGGCTTCGGATTGGCCCAGCTCCAGCTGTTGCAGCCATTTGAGAAGTGAACCAGCAAATGGAAGACCTCTCTTCTCTCTCTCTCTCTCTCTCTCTCTCTCTCTCTCTGCCTCTCTGTAACTCTGCCTTTCAAATAAATCAATCTTAAAAAAAAAAAAAAAAAAAAAAAACACGTTAAAGGTGAAGAGAAAATTCTGGCTCTGATTACAGATTTGTTAAAGTCCACAGCAGGAGTAGGCATTTGGCCTAGCGATTAAGACAGCAATTAGGACGCCTGCACCCTACATCAGAGGGCCTGGGTTCAACTCCCGGCTCCACTCCTGATTCCAGCTTCCCGCAGACTCTGAGGCAGCAGGAGATGGTTTAAGGAGTTTATCCCCACCACCTGTGTGAGAGGCCCGGATGGAGTTCCCAGCTCCTGGCTTCAGGCTGGCCTAGTGCTGGCCGTTACAGGCATTTCGGGAGGGAACCAGGAGGTGGGAGCTCTGTCTGTCTCCCCTTCTGTCTCTCTTTCTCTCTGCCTCTGGAGTAAATCTTTTAAAAATCAATTGTAAAAAATGCAATCAATACATAAATGTTTGAGAGAAAGTGTCTTTGCAATCAGAAATAGGAAACTTTAACATGAAAGATAACCTTCCAGGAAAATATTATGTGTACGGGCATATTTTTATTTTTCACAAAAAATATTTTTTATTTTAGGCTTATTTTATTATATGTTTTTATATTATTTTTATATTTCATTTTTCACAAAAATGCTTTCACACCATAAATATTGTCTGTGTTTGCTTTTCACCTTAAAATCTTACAGTTAATTTTTCCTATTAATTAATTTTTCCTATTAATGCTTAGGGTGTTTTAATGGCTGCAATCTGTGTAGTTCCTGAATATTATAAAAAGTTCAATAAAATTATTCATTCTAGAATCCTCTGTCTGAGGGGCTTTTATTTGGTTGTTTGCTTCCTTTAAAAGCTAATATGTAATGTTATAATGATTATTCTGATAACAAATCTTTGGTCATGAATCTGATTATTTCCCAAAAGTAAATTTGTAGACAGGAATTGTGCAATCATAGACTACACATTTTAAACCCCAGTATATAAAATACAAAATGCTTGTGTGTGTGTGCAGGTGTGTGTGTATGTGTTGGAGGGATTTAACATTTTTTCCAAATATTTAACCATACTCTAACACCATTCATTGCATAGTATAGTCTCTACTGATTAGACTTTTCACACTTACCATGTAAGGTAATAATTACATTAAAAGGCAATAGAGGAATGGCTGGTGCAGTGTTTAAAACGCCACTTGAGACACCTGTAACCCATATGGCAGTGCCTGAGTTTGTGCCCTGGCTCCCCTTCCAATCCAGCTTCCTGCTAATGCACACCCTGGGAGGTGGCAGGTGATAAGGTCAGGTAGAGGAATCCTCACCACCTATGTAGGAGACCTGGATGGAGTTCCTAGCTCTGAGCTTTGGCCTGGCCTAGCCCTGGCTGACGTGGGGCATTTGGGGAGTGAATCATTGGATGCATGATCTCACTTTTTCCCCGCTCCTTTCAAGTAAATAGAAATACATAAATAAAAATTAAGAAAAAGAAGTAATAATGGTTATCCATGTGTTTTGTGATGCTCACTGTACTTCCATTTAACTAAACTTACAGCTTCTCTATATAGTTTATATCCCAATAGTCTCAAACTACAATTGAGCATATTTTGTATTTTAAGGGCCTTTATTATTTTTCATTTTCTGAAGACTGTGTTCATAGCCTTTGCTTATTTTTCTGTTGACTTGCTAGCTTTTTAAACTGATTTGTGTAAGCTCTTTCTTTATTAGGAAAATTAAGCATTTGATGGATGGGATGCAAACGCCTTTCTCAGTTTGCCACTGTCTCTGTAAGCAGGTCTGTCACAAATACATCTATACCAGGTCTTTTCAGAAATCATCAAAAACAGCCCTTAACTCAACAAATGCCTTATTTTTAATTTTTTTAAAATTGTGATGAAATATATATAACATTAAATTTATGATTTTAACTGTGGGGTTTTTGCAGTGTATTAATTCTGTTTATGAAACGTCATTTTAAAACATTGATTTTCTTAAGGATGATAGCAGCGGTAATTAAAAATGATGAAACAGGTGGGTATTTGGCCCAGCAGTTGGGACACTGGTGTCCCCCATCAGCGGGCCTGGGTTCCAGTTCCATTCCTGGACAGTAGCGGTAGCTCAAGTGATTGGGTTCCTATCACCCACATGAGGGACCTGGATTCAGTTTGGAGTTCCCAGTTCCCCACAGTTGGGGTCATTGCAGGCATTTAGGGAGTGAATGAGCAGAGGGAATTTCTCTTTCTCTGCATCTCTAAAATAAATAAATTTATGGAACTTAAAAAAAAAAACAAGATTTCATGTGAATGTCATTTGAAAGTCTTATTTTAAAATATATATATACATTTGGAGAAAAACTGCATCTGCACTGAACATACACAGACTTTTTTTCTTGTCATTATTTCCTAAACAGTACAGTGTAACAACTACTTACAAAGCCTTTACTTTGTATGAGGACTATCCAGAGATATTTTAAAGTATACAGGAGGATGCCTGTAGATTATACGCAAATACCATGCCAATTTATAGAAGGCACTTGAGCACCCGAGGGTTCTGTCATCTGAGGGGCCCTGAACTCAATCCCCCGCAGACACCAAGGCACAACTGTGTGGGTTGTGGTCACTGTGAAAGGCCAATTAAGACCCGGATGCAGTGCTGACTTTACCAGCGTGACACTGAAATCAGAAGGATACAGAGATCAGCAAGGCCTCTGTGCAAGGGTGACATGCAAATTCCTGAAGCACTCCATATTTTCATTTCTAATACAGTTCTTGATAAAATGCTATAATGCAATGTTACTTTTGTTCATAGCTGCTAATTTTTCTGCCAAAAGCATTCTAGCTTTTACCATATTTTAAAAGCTTTTTAAAAATCTGTTTAGCAAAGTTTTTTATCAGGTAATTTTAGTCAGTTTCTTGCTTTGTTCTACCTAATGGTCTGTTTAACTAGATGCACCAAGATAGAGCTATTAAAATTAAACCTAAAGTTAAGTTATAGACTTAAAAGCATTATTGTGTTAAGCATTAAACTTGGAAATTAAGATGTACAGAACAGGTTTTTCTTTAAAAAGCTTACAGCATGATTTTCCTGCTAAATGTTAAGTTAAATTTACTTGTACTTAGAACTCTTTATAATGTTAAAATTACAAAAAAAGAGAATTGGATGTTTCCATTAATTGCATTGTTTATTTATTTATAAACATATAATGGTTATTATTTATTGTATACCAGATGACATGCTAAGCACTGCACATGCATTAATAACTCTACAAGAGCTATAAACATGCTTATTCCACTTTTTAAAATTTTAATTAATTTATTTTTATTTGGAAAGTGGGGAGACAGAAACATATCTCTCCATTGGTTCACTCCCCAAACGCCTGCAGTAGCCAAGGCTTGGGCAGGACAAAGCCAGGAGCTCTGAACCCAAACAGGAAAATTACGCATTTATCATATGGTTTGCAAACATTTTTCCTAGTTTGCCATTGTCTTTGCACATGGGTGTGCAAGTTATTCATTTATTGGCACAATAAATTTATACTAGGTCCTTTCAGAAATCATTAGAAATGATACTAACAAATGCTTTACTTAAAAAAAAAAAAAACTTTCTTTTATTGTGGTAAAATATGGTAGGTGGTAGGGACCCAACTACTTGAGCCATCACCTGCTGCCTCCCAGGGTCTGCATTAGCAGAAAGCTGGAATCAGGAGTAGAGCCGGGACTGGAACCAGGGTCTCCCATACAGAATGCAGGAATCTCAACTGATATCTCCACTGCTAGGCCAAATGCTTGCCCAAGTTCCTCTTTTTTATAAACAAAGAAGTAAACACTTCAAATAAAAGGTGAAATAGTGTGCAAAAGGCAGTAGTTAAATAACTGGAACACAAACTTGAGCAATCTGATTCTAGAGCCTGAAGTTAATCACTAAGCCAGGGGCAGGTGTTGTGTTGCAGCTGGTTAAGCCGCCACTGGCAACACCAGTATCCCATGTGAGCAGCATTGGAGTTCCAGCTGCTCCACTTCTGATCCAGCACCCTGCTGAGGCACCTGGGAAAGCAACAGGTGATGGGCTGAGCTCCTGTCACCACGTGGGACACCCAGATGGAGTTCCAGGCTCAGCCCTGAGTGTTGCGCCCACTTGGGGAATGAACCAGCAGAAGGAAGATGTCCCTCTCTCTCTCCCTCTCCCTCTCTTTTTTTCCTTGTAATTCTGCCTTTCAAATAAAGAGTAAATCTTTTTAAAAAAGAAAAAAAAAAAAACACTATGCCACGGTCTGACACAAGATGAGACCCAGGGCACCAAGTGAGGTTCTTTTAGATAGAACTTGGACAAACTGTAAACACTGTCAATCACTGTGTATTTATTTAGTTTTAAATTGTGGTTAAAAGGGCCAGCACTGTGGCATAGTGGGTAAAGCCACTGCCTGCAGTGCCAGCTCGAGTTCCAGCTGCTAAACTTCTGATCCAGCTCTCTGCTGTGGCCTGGGAAGGCAGTAGAAGATGGCTCAAATGCTTGGGCCCCTGCACCCATGTGGGAGACCCGGAAGAAGCTCCTGGCTTCGGATCGGCCTAGCTCTAGCCATTGCAGCTATTTGGGGAATGAACCAACAGATGGAAGATCTCTCTTTGTCTCTGCCTCTGCCTTTCAAATAAATAATTCTTTTTTAAAAATTGTGGCTACAGACACAAAAATTTACCTTTTAAATATTTATTTATTTGAAACACATTTACAGGGAGAAAGGAGGGGAGAGAGAGAGAATCTTCCATCTATTGTTCATTCCCCAGATGACTGCAACAGCCGAGGCTGGGCCAGATAGAAGCCAGGAGCCAGGAGCTCCATCCAGGTGCAGGGGCACAAGCACTTGAGCGATCTTCTGCTGCTTTCCCAGGAGCATTAGCAGGGAGCTGGATGAGAAGTAGAGAAGCCAGGACTTGAACCAGCGCCCAGATGGGATGCTAGCATCCTACGCAACGGCTTAACATGCTATGCCACAATGTCTGCAAAATTTACCATTCTGAGCATGTTTAAATGCCCAGCTCGATGGCACGAAGAGCTTTCACACTACCGTGCAGCTATTGCCACCGTGTCATTTTCTTTTGACTTTGCTTATAGCAGGTTTGGCCATGCAGAACACTTTCAACTCATCACATTTATCAACATACTACATCTTATGAAATGAGTATTTTGTATTATACCTAGAAAGACCTTCCGCACTCTGAGATTTTGTTTTTCAAATCTTCTGATGTTTCTCTGGTGTCTACAGTTTCATTTTTATCTACTTCACTGTCTTTAAGTCTTTAGGAATGTACTCTGGTGTAGTATGCAAGATAAAGCAGCCGCTTTATTATTGTTTTTAATTCCAACAGGAATTATATCTTAAAATTCTTTATAAGTTTATTTGAAAGGCAAAGAGGGAGGGAAATGGGGTGGGGAGAGAAATGTTCCCATATACTTGTTCATTCCGCAAATGTCCACAATAGTGAAAAACCAGCCCAAGTCGCCCACCTGCTGCCTTCCAGGATCTACTTCTGCAGGAAGCTGAAATTGGGAAGGGAGCCAGGACACATACCCAGGTACTCCAATATGAACACCGGCATCTTAACCCAGGGCCTACCTGCCCCGGGAATTATGGTTAGAACAAGACAAATTTATTTTAAGTATATATGGGTGGAAAAAGCAAAGCAGAAAAAGCCAAGGAAAATTCTGAAAACAAGAAAAGCAAAGGGACCCCCTGGGGTATGGAAGACTAGTCCTACCAACAATTACAACAAACCCTGAATGCACAGTGTTTAAAATAATAGGGTCCTGAGTGCAAGCTTGGTAGAACATCAAAACGAAATGGGATGACCAGACCCCACTTTGGGGCAGGCCAACTGGCCAAGCAGTTATGACGTGCACATCCGACACCAGCGTGCCTAGGTTCAATGACTGGCTCCAGCTTCTGACTCTAGCTCCCTGATAATGCACACCCCGGGAGGCGGCAGTAATGGCTCAAGTAACAGGGTCCCCGCCACTCACGTGGGAAACCCTGATATAGTTCTGGACTCCTGGCTTTAGCCTGAACCAGCCCCAGCTATTGTGCCCATTTGGGGTGCGAACCAGAGGATGGGAAGACCTGTGTCTTTCCTATCCCTGTCACTCTGCCTTTCAAATAAATAAGTTAAAAAAAAAAGAAACTGAAAAGAAAAAAAAAAACAAAGTTCATGGAAAACAAAATTAAAAGATAAGTTTATTTTGAAGCAAAATAATTTAAATCCATGTATATGAGAGACCTTCAAAAAGTTCATGGGAAACGCATAGTATGAAAAGGTTTTTCAAATTAAAAAAAAAAAATCTTGCTCCACAGCAGGCTTTTCATTTCATTCTGCCCATATTTTTTGAAATGCCCACATATGGTAATACAGCCTATTCTTCTGAGGCCACACACCTGCGTAGCATGTTCCTGTGTTGAATGCTGTGGGAGACTGTGACACACAATGGTGTTTGTGTCTCTAAACATAGAAAACGTACAGGAAAAATATGGCATAAAAGATGACAAATGCTGCACCTGGAGGGACACTTCCCATGAATGGAGCTTGCGGGACTGGAAGCTGCTCTGGGTGAGAGGTGGGGAAACAGGGAGGCCCAGCACACTCCTGTTATAAACACTGTGCACTCAGGCTAAGCTAAATTCATCTAAAAATACATTTTTTCTTTCTTCAACTTTAACCTAAATTTACCAATTGCTTCTTTACCTTTTTGGTCTTTTTAAACATTCTGACTCTTTTGTAATAACTCTTAGCTTAAAACACAAACCTAGTAGCTTTACAAAAATTCTCTATATATCAAGTTTTTTTATTTTTAATTTTCTTTTACTTTTTTTTTTTTTTTTTTGGTCAAACACTGAGAGAAAAACACACAACAGCCTAGACCTACACAGGGTCAGGATCATCGTCTTCCATCTTCACAGCTTGTCCTGCTTGGCGGTCTTTGGGGCTACAATGAGCAGGGAGCTGTCCTCTCCGATGAGAACAATGCCTTCATCCACAGTGTGTGCTGAAGGAGCTGCCTGAGGCTAACCTATGTGTGTGTGTATATATATATATACACATGGAGTAAACTCTAATTATGTGTGTGTGTGTGTGTGTGTATGGGGTGGGTGCTTGGCCTGGAGGCTGTCTACATCTCCCATCAGAATGCCTAGGACAGACACCCAGCTCCTGACTCCTGCTTTCTGCTAATGCTGATCCTGGGCTCAAATGATGGGATTCCTGTCATTAACAGAGGAGACCTGGACTAAGTTCCAGTTCCTAGCTTTGGCCTCCTCTTGCACATTTGAAGAGTAAACAACAGATGAGAGTTCTTTCTTGTGTGACTCCACCTCTCAAACAAATTTTAAAAAATTTAAATAATATGACAAATATAAGCTAGTAACTAGTCACTTATTATCAAGTATTATGTACTGGACCAACTTGCATGTGCTGTACATCTGGCAGTGCTGTAGATCTGTTTTTAACAGTCTCACCACAAACACGTGGGTAAAGCCCTGAGCCACACTATAACAACAGAAATTTTTCAGTTCCATTAAAATCTATGGAACCACTGTCCTATATGTGGTATCACTGACAATGTCGACCAAAATGTCACTGTGTGGTACTTGGCTGTATCTACACCACATTCCCATGATTTGGGCTCAGATCCAACATGATGTGTTCAAGATTAGACGCTGGCAGAACTGTATTTAACGATTCCTGAGGCTGAGTTTGGGCAGTGAGA